ACCTGAGCTACAGCTGCTCACTGGCACACGTGCTGACATTTAAGTATTGGCAGCCCACCACCAAGTTTCCTTAGCCCTTAGGCAAAGAGAACTGACAATTAGTTCATTGGATAGCAAAACCAGGGACGCGAGGAGGAAGCAGCTGATTCCTTGACAGAACAAAGAAGTGTGTCCTCATTAAAGCACACCACACTGTGGAGAACTGTACAGGGAGAGTCAGAGCTGGGTGATAATTACTGTGGTGAAGGAGACAGTGTCTCGTGCTACTTTCTGTTCTCTCACTTTCCTTGTCCTTCAGGTTCAATGTTTCTTCAAAAAAAATAAATAAATAAGAAAAAAGTAAGACCAAAGAAATTGTGATATAATGGACTTTTCTTTTCCCTTGATCAGACTGAACAGATTTCCTTTTTGACCTTGGGCATCTATCATTTTGTGTCCTTTAAATACAGGAGCAGTGAAATTCATTCAACAATTTCCCACAATTAAACTATATATTCAGTATGACATTAAAACATGCTCCTTTAGATGATTGGATGCCCTGTGTTTCACTACAACCTCTCTGAGTTCTTGCCAAGTGAGTATTTATTTAAGTCTTGTTTGTCAATGCTGGACTGGAGTGGTGCGTGTTCACTTTTTTTGATTGGGTCCAAAGTGGCCTTGTAGTTTAAGATTGAAGGTAAGGCACTTTCCTGTGGCAATAAAGTCTATCAGAGAGCACTACTGCCTGTTATTTGACCTTGGTACACAATAATACCTATAATAATAATACCATTATTACAAGCTGAATGAATTCATTTTTCTATATGTTCATTATTTTTGCTTTGTGGAAGTAATTTTCATCACTCTCACAAGAAAAAAACAAAACAAAAATGTCCTGGAAGAATGTTTGAGCGTATAAAAGTCCTGGAAGATTGTTTTTTCCATCAGTTCATTGCTCAAAGAACATTTTTTGTTAATATGTACTGAAATTGCTGACTATTTCCGCCCACATGGTTTGACGACTTACAATTCTGACTGGCACCTCAGATAAATGTCTTTTACGAACCCCTGGGCTGTAACTCAGCTTTTCCTCTGCACGTGCTCCAAGTTGCTGGTTGGTGGGGTGGAGTTCATCAATGTCAAGTGGGAACGCCTCAGCCCTGCGTACGCAGACTTTAAAGCTTTTGCTGCCACTTTATTCTGCCTCTCTGCCATCTAATAGTCTGCTAACATGCTGTCGACTTAGTTTCTCTACTACTGTTTCCTCACTCATAGAAGTCATGCACACTCTGCACCACAGATCGTAATGATTTCCACATCACAGCAGAAATCTCTAAGACAATTACATCCTTGCATAAAGCTAAGGAACTTGTAGATCGGGATTCTCTTTATATACAGTACTGCTCACTCATAGTGATGCTGAAGTATGGGGAAATGTGTATTAAACAAATACTAAAGCAGTAATTTTGTTACAACAAAAAACTATTAATATAGTATGCAGAGCAAATTATTATGATGCAACAAACATATTCTGTATTCTGCTGAATATATTAAAATTTCCCAAATAAAAAGATTTCAAAATTATGGATCAAGTAAAAAGCTATTAATTACTTCCAGGTGTCCAGGATTTGTTCCAGCTGAGAAAACTGATTTATTAATTAAGATGACTATTGTAGGAGCCATATGAGTTGCTCCTTTTTTGACTAAGTGGGTTGAGTTAAATGGACTCACTGTATTGGTGCACGGGTGTGGGGCGTGTCTCATGGGTGTGTTAGATGACAAATGTGGTTGCACTCACCTGTTCACGGCACCTGATGTTGATGAGCAGAAAGGT